CTGTGATCAATGCTACTGTAATGATCTAAACATGTATGGTGTTCATGAACGTTCATATAATACCTTACTCCCTCCTCTAAAAATCAATCCTACCATTCCCTCACCTCCAAAACTTAATTTTTCCTCAATCCTGCTTCAAAATGTTCTTCTTCCTCTTTCAAAACTGTGCTCCTTGCTTTGGAAGTCCACGCTCCCAACTTACTCATCACTTACTGTACAATCATGTTGATATTTGATTGCAAAGACAGTTAAATTCTGTCTTTGAGAAGAGGAAACAGCATGTTTTGGAGTAGAGAGGAGGATATCCTAATACTGTATGTGCACCACATACAGTACAAGTGTCCGATCGAGTGTTAGAATTAGTTCTAGGAAAAATAACTCCAATCATCTTCTCAAGCAAACCTAACAGATCTTAACTCACACAGTGAAGAAGGTTCCATGGCCGAAACATTGTGTTTTCTTTCTTCTTTTTTTCAGCACAGAATAAACCTATTACTTGTTCCTTTGCAGCCTACGCATGCTGATGCAGCTACCAACCTGAACTACTACAGCCTACACCTGCTGCAACCCACTATGTCTTCCTCCAAATCTTTTTCTAGATCTCTTCATCATACCCTTTCTTCATCTCTGGGCCACTTGCCCGCTTCTCTCACAGACACCTGAAGAAGGCTCCACGGTCGAAACGTTGTTTTCTTTCTTCTTTTTTTTCAGCGTGGAATGAACCTATTACTTATAGCTTACGCATACTGACGCAGCTACCCACCTGAACTAATAGATCTTGACTACAATGTACTGTGGACTCTCATCACTCAGACATACTGTACAAGTACCAGATTTATAGCATTGACTGTCTTCAGTTCATATTAAAAGCAAATTCATTTATATAAAACAAGCTGTTTATTTTGAACAGGTTGTCTTTCAGTTGTTGGTAGAGCCAGCTCTAAACAGCAACTACCATTGGGCTACAGCAGAGTAGAGCTAATAATCTGCCATTTGTGGACTAATTTTCAAGAAGTGTAAAATGTTATCTAAACAATCTTGAAAATTTATAGCGATGTTAACTTCGATTAAACGCAAAAGTGATGGGCACAGATGAAAAATAGATTAAAATCAATGCACTGAGCGGGATGCAGTTTTGGAGGTTGAGGATGAAGTTATTGCTTAGGTGATTAGACACCTCAGGAATCTCCCCAAGTACACATTTCTTACTAAAGGACTAGTATTACAAAACGTTGTACAATTACAACTACAGTACATACAGTATATTGTATAATTTATTAATAAAGGGGAAAGACATTACCCATGTTTTATTTTTTTCAGTTGTTTTTATGATGTATGTTTCACACTTTACACCTTGTCCTTATACATATAGCACGCTGTGTGATGACAGATCATTAACTACTTTTGTCTGTTTTTTCAAACTGTCATGAATTTTAGCATGTGAATCAAGTGCAGAAGCTGAAGCTTTGTGCATTCATTTTTGTTTTCTCAATTTTCTCTCTTAATTTCCTTACTGAAGTGCACATAGGCAGATCATACTCATTATGATAATCCCAGTAATGGGGATATCATGTGCAGGCTGAGTGTTTGGAGACCAAAGAACTAAAATCATCTTCACCTTTAATTACCATTGATCTTCTCCAAGGAGAACAAAATTTAAAAGACAGAGTTGCATGGCTCTAGGCATCAATATGCACAATGCAGCTGAAAAATAAGGTAAACAAAAAGTAATTGAATCACGGTCCATCTCAGTCTATTCCATTCCTTTTATTTTAAGATCTTGGCAAAGTTTAGACCTCTGTACTATTTGAAACTTTATAAACATTTTAAATCACACCTGTATTTTTGCAGTATAATATCTATTTTTTTAAGTTACTTACAGTGTCTTGTGTGAGTATTCACTCCATTCCAAAGATCAAATTTTGTTGAACCGTTTTTTGCATGCACTGTTTTTATTGAACATTTTGGTCAAACTGTGAATGTGACCCACTTTCATGGGTGAACAAAGTTAAATGTCAACATATAGAAAAACCACAAAGCAAAATAATCACAGCTGCAAGTCTTTTTTAAGAGTCTTCACCAAAAAACTGCACATCAGGATCCTGATCCACCAATGGAATGGGCAAATTTCACCCATTCTACCCATTCTTCTTCCTCTGTTAATTTTGCTAGGGTTTTTTGATGAACAGCAAATTTAATGTCTTTCTTCAGATTTTATATCAGATTCAAGACATTCAACTCCATCTTGTTAAACCACTCCAGTATTGCCCATGTCTTGTGCTTTGCTGTAACGATGAAAATTGAATTTTAATATTAAGTGCTTAGGAGAGGACTTTTTAGAATGTTTTCTTTTTTTTGCTATATCCATTGTATAGAAAAAATAATTTTAAATTAATATGTCTCAGTCCCTTCTGATGAGAAGCAGCCTCATAATAAAATGTTACTACCACCATGCTAAATAGTTAGGGCTGTGTTGGGTTTGCACCAGACTGCATTATTACCCAAGTGTTCTAGTTTTCTCTCATCTGACCACAAAACATTTTATGTTTGCAGTATCAATTAATTGCAAACTCCATGCAGCAAGAAATGGCTTCTTTCTTGTCAATCTGCCATAGAAGCCACCCTGTGATTCATGAACATTTTCTCCCATCTGAGCCAAAGAACTCTGTAGCTCTTTCAAAATTGGCATTGTCCTCATGGGTGTAGCTCAAATTAATTTCTTCCTTGTCAGTTTGGTTCATTTTGTGTTTCCAGCCAGCGCCAATTTAGGAAACTCTGCAGAACTGCTATGAATAAATGTGTGTTTGACGCAGGCAGGTCGGGAGTGGGAGAGAGAAACACTGAAACATTTGTTTTCGCCAGAGACACAGTGTAGCCGATGGCTGATAGCCGCAAGACTGATAAGGTGCCAGGAAAGAGCAGCATGTGGGTGTGCTGTGTGAGTGTTGTATGATTTACCCTTTGGAAGAGAGTTTATCTGAGTGCACATGCAATTCTAATGGTCTGTAGCCTGTGAGTACCGAAGAGGTGTATAAATTGTGTTTATATTGCAGTCCATGCCGTCTCATTTTCTGAGAGAGACAATGGCAAAAAGCAGCCTCGTGGACATCAGGGTCCAAAGGTTGCAGTCAACAGTGATATGACAGGACTTGTTATAGGTTGCAGAAGCCCTCTCATGACTGTATGTGTGATTGGAGACACCAGAGAAGAGACGTGGTCTGGATAGCAGAGGGCAGTCAGCCACTGACACTCAAGAGACTTCATCAGCTTGTTGATGTGAGAACATGAGTGGTATGCAGGAAGATGGCAGATGGAGAAGATAAGTCTTCCCCAGAAGGGGAACAATGTGTAAGATCTAGGAACCTGGAGGGGTTCCAGCAGAAAATAACTTTCAGACTGCAGTAGGGTTTCTCTCCTGTCTTGGTGTTTCCAAACTTGAGACTCTAGAATGTGAAAGAGTGTAAGAAACAGTAATGAGAACATTTATGAATTAGTGGTGGTCACTGAGCTGGAATTGCTGCCGAAGGGGAGGTACTGTATGTGCAGCTGTAAGACCTGAGAGGAAGCAGTATTCCCCAGCACTGTTTGAGGGCTAATTATTAATTCCTGGTCTACTAGTAGTTCTGAGGGAGGACCAGAGAGCAGGGATTTCAGCTGGAAGGATTCTGGCTCTGTGAAATAAGAGTGGTGGATACTGTCTCTCTGGCAATGAGTGACGTCTGACTTGTCTCCACAAAAGAGAAGGACCAAAAAGGATCCTTTGGAGGTGAGTATGCACCAAAATTTAAGTTGTTTTGGGTTGGCAATGAGCTTACCCAGTGAAGTGGATCCTGCCTGGTACACACTTCTTAATGGTTTACTTCACCGTTCGGCAAAGGATATTTAGTGTCTTTAATTCTTTAAACCTTTCTCCTGATCAGTGCCTTTCTATGACTTATCTGTGTTGCTTTGAAATCTCCTTGGTCTTCATGGTAAAATCTTTGCCTGAAATAAGATTACTGACGAAAGGACTAACTAAGGTGTTTTTAATATCAAAATTACAATTTCACACTGACAGAAGAGCCTCAACTGATTGTGTGACTTGGTAAAGTAATTTTGTACATGTGAACTGATTTAGACTTGTCATAGCAAAGGGGGGTATACATTTGCAGGTAAAGCATTGGATTCAGTTGCAGGGGAAAGTACCTGGTGTATATGGTTAGTATGGCAGGTTAAGGGACCTATGAACGAGAAGGTTGCACAGAATAGGCGGTCAGCAATATGAAATGACAGGGTGGTAAGGAGAGGTTACCAGTGGAGGTGTGATCTTGTAAAATGGGAAAGTTGTCAGTCATGGTTCTGGGAATAGAAAAGGTGTTAGGGTGTTAGGGAAGCACCAATGGAATGTGGTTGTGAGTCTGGAAGCATGGAAATAACCTTTACCAGTTCCTTTGCAGCCTTCACATGCTGACACAGCTCCCTACTGAAATACCTTCAACTGTGCTGCTCTACCAAGATATTAGACAATATTATGTAATTTCCAATTACATCTACAGCATGATTTCCACTATGATGTTCACAGATCTTTGAAGATATACTGTAGGACCATTAAGCCAACAGATCATGCAGATCTCTGTGACATGCTGTTAGAGGTTCAATAGCTTTTTGCAGCCGGAATTGCACATGCTTGTGGTGTCCTTTTATCTGACAACCACTGCCTGTAAACCCTTCATGATATCTAAATTGATTTGTTAGCCGGGTCGACAAATGCTTTTACTAACAGTCATTCCAACAATGTAACAGCACAGGGAAGTGTATATAGACAGTTTCTTTTTAAATAGGCTTTTTGCATTGTTATATTCAGTATGAGTCCTGAAGCACTTTCAACAAATAAAGTAATGATTTAAAACCTGAATTGCATTGGTTGTGCTTAAACATTTATTATCTCAGATGTCATTTTTAATCCTTCTTTGTAAAGTTTTTTATTATTGTTTTACCAAGCTAAATTACCATTTTTAAAGCACAGAACTGTTGTACTTCGAAGGCAAGCTGTCGGGGGATTGGGTCTAAGTATCAAAGTAAGTTTTAATCCTTTAAATTTTTTCTCATTGATTTTATTATTACAATTTGCATAGAAATGTGCTGGTTAATTGTGTTAATAATATTATTGCTATATCTGCATTTTAGGGTGGTGCTGAGCATAAAGTGCCTGTAGTCATATCGAAGATTTTTAAAGATCAAGCTGGTAAGGACACTTTGATACTAAAATGTTCTTTATTGATTCAGACTATGAATTATGTTTATCTACACTATCGTGGGTGAAGTGCAAAGTAAATTAAGGACTTTAGATATTTATCCAGCAGTTGCAGTAGATCATACAACATACTGCTTGTTTTGTTATCTGCTTGTTTAAGGGTCAGCTGAAATGTAGATCTGAAAATATGAAATTGTGATATAAAATAAGTACTTTAAGTATTGTAAGAAAATCTGTTAGTAAAACTGTGCAGTATTAAACTGACAATTTCAATTTTTTGGGTTATAGTCTGCTTCTGGTTCCTATATTTTCCTCAGTTTTGAATATTTCCTCTTTATTAGGATTTTGAGAAATTGTAAAGCAATCTGGAATCTATTTTGTATTTTATGCTTGAGATCTGGAGAATAGAAAGCAGTAGGATTAATTATGTTTAATACAATGTCTAAAAAACGGAAAAAAGTTATTTATTTTTTGTAAGATTATAGAGGAATTGCACTGATGCTCTCCTTTAGAATGTGTGAAACTAAGCTATATTGTATATACATTTTAACTTTTTATAAATACTTATTATATGTCATCCCTTTTATATAACATTTAAAAAAAATTAACACAAAGTAATCCCAACACTTAAAAAATAAATACTGTAAATGAATGAATAAATAAACCCGTGTTAACCCATCTTAATACATATTAAGAATCAGAATAATTCTTTATAATAATAATAATAATAAGAAGAAGAAGAAGAAGAAGAAGAAATGTTTTTTGCTAGGATGATCAAAATGCCTTTAATCAGTCTGGACCAAACGTTACAAAGTTAATGAAAAAATATATAGTATATATACTGTAACAACATAAACAATCAGTATTAATACAAAAAATATCTGGCTGTATCCAGCAGTGTCAATACTAAGTATGGGAAAGTGTTCTCTTATTCTGGAAATTATGCTTTCCAAAACATTAGGTAAAGAAGCTAGCAGATGCTACATAGGCATATGTTAGTCTCTTTGGGTTTTGCTAATTACAAGAGTTGTAAGTTGTCTCTAAGCCATATGGAATACATTATAAATGAATGGGTTGACTTACTAGGGGAATAATTAAATCTCATACAATTTGAATATTTACTATACTTTTTAAAATGGATGGAATATATTAGACATTTTAAATGTGTTTTGTTACTGTTGCCTTTTTAAAATATTTTATCTGAGCTCCTCTCTTGGGTATAGTCCTACAGTATCACTGAATTTAATTCAAACTTTATTATAGTGCAGTACTGTGGCATAACAGAATGGCTTTCTCACAGCTTTGGAGTCCTGCAATTGATTGGATCAGTATTTAGTGCTTCTAAATTTGAATTTCTTTTTCTTAAGCATTTAATATTCTATGCAAGGAACTGATTAATTTTCTTAGTTAATTAATTGACCTCTTTTTTGTAGTGATCATGGGACACCGAGTTCCCAAGACGGTTCTATGTGAGTGGTTCAATAAAGTATGAAACCTATTAATCATTGCAGAAGTATATTTTTAAGTACATTTAATGTATATTTTAAAGTTTTTTAAAGAATACATTTTAAAAATCATTTCACTATTTTTGTACCTTGTTCTTGAAAACCGTGGTGAACAGTCAAGAAGAAAATATATGCAACACTTTATGACAATTATTTTTCCTTGCAAAACAAAGATAGAGCTAATTAAAATATTTCTTGCATACCTGGGAGCAGGATGTACACAGTCATACAGTACAAAAATGACACTTTTCATTTTACAATACAAGCAAATACACCAAAATCCTGAAATAAAATCTGAACTCTTTGTGTTCTACCTAGATTCTTCAAAATCCCTCTGTAGCTGGAACTGTTAACAGCTTCAGAGTTTGTCTCTGATAATTTTCTCAAAAACAATTCCACACAACAGCTAGAAGTGGTCTCTGCTTCCTGGTTTTTAATGTCACCCAAACAATTGTCTTCCACTAATTGGTCAGGCAATTTGACAGAAGGTCATTCCCCATTGCTCTCAGGGCAATGTCTTTCAGACAAGGATCTCCATTTGACTTCTGACCTTTTCTAACATATGTATACTGGCAAAACCACCTGGCAGTAACTCCATGGGTGGTTACAGAAGTGATTAAAACATACCTCTAGTTACATAGCGGATTACATTCTGCAAAATCTCACTTAAGTAAGTTTTCAATTAATAGGTATTACAACTGTTATAACTATTAACTACTTGCTTTCCACGTTACTAGAATGCTTTTGAGCCATAACTAAAAGGGGAGCATTTCAAATACCTTTGGAAATTTAACCAGACACATAAAAGAAGATCCCTGTATGAGGCAAAGAACGAGTTTGCACACAATTTTCTTACGTGAAGTAGGATTTACATTAGACGGGGTATAGGCCATGGATAGTGCAAGAAGTATCTGTGCTTTTGTGTAAGAAAAATATTTATAAAACAGAAACGCACAACAACAAAAATAATAAGATTTTATTTCATCAATCATTTGAGAAACGGTCTCCGTAATCCACTTCATAATGTGATTCTTGGCCGAAATAAATAACAATTACTGTCTGCTGTGATAGAAAAAAAGATACCCTCGGTTGGGTGCCATATGATTTTCCGAACTGCTTCCTCATAATTTGCTAGGAATCACCTTTCACTGGGAACTGAAAATCTGCAATTATTAAAAAGAAAATGACAGCCTCCGCTGGCAGTCCTGTCACCTTTACAATTTGAAGGAGAGAACACAGTAAAAGCCATGTGCCAAAGCATTACTTATTATTAACTGCAAGAATGTTCTTAGTTTTAAACAAATAGGTTACAGTTGTATAATCTATAGTCATGTATTGAATATATGTTAATCTGTAACATAAAGTATATATTATGGATATGCCGTACAGTATATATGAATTATACAGAAACTAAATAATTTTGTTTACCTGTAGAAATAATATAAATATTATTTTTAAATAACATTTGCACAGCCAATTCATTAGATTGTGATTCTTTCAACCACAAAACATTAAATGAGCCCATAAAATATAATATTCCTGCTTATATTGTCAGTCACATTTCAAATGTTTTGAAAAACATTTTGTATGGTATTATGGATGATTTTCAAAATACAGATGTGTTAAGGGGACACTTCCTCTGAGCATGGACAGTGAAGCTTGTCTGCCTTGAAGGGCAAAACACAGTCGAATCCTAGGAGAAAATCTGCTTGAGTCAGCCTAAAATTTAAAACTGGTCGATAATTCACATTTTAGCAGAACAATGACCTGAAGTCAAAGTCACACTGGAGTGGTTTGACAAGAAGAGGTTGAATTTCCTGGAGTGGTCAATCTATTACATCCAATAGAAGAAAAATGGTGAGAGCTGAAGATTGCAGTTCATCAGCAATCTCCAATGAACTTTTCAAAACTCTAACAGCTGTACCTGGAATTGTGCAAAATTACACTATCCCACTGTGCAAAGCTGGTAGAGAACTGCTCAAAAAGACTTACAGCTGTAATTACTACCAAATGCACTTCACCCAAGTTCTGACTTTGAAAGAATGACTACTTGTACAATTGTCAAATTCCAAAGTATTTATTTTCTTTTCATCTTATTAAAATATTTGTATTTATACATTTAATGTGTATACTGTAAATATGTCAATTTTTGTGCTGCAATTCTAGGTTCACTTAAAACTTTCATACAGTAGCTGCTCATTGTGTCTTTAGAATTATATAAGACACTTTCATTTATTGCTGCTTCTTGAAGCACTAGCTCATGTGAAAACTGTAATAATTTACTAAGATTAATATTAACCTCTAACCCCTCCTTATTTCTATCTTAGCGGATCAAACAGGAATGCTTTTTATTGGAGACTCAGTGTTACAGGTTAGTATATCAAAAATTTTTTCTGTTTTCTATATTGAACACAGATTACTTATGCTAACAGCCATCCTGATACATATACTGAAATACAAATTACAGTAGATGGGAAAATAACAAAATTATGTTTAAATATTTCATATTTATAGAATATAAAAAGTGATAATTTATTGTAAATGGAAAATGTGCGACCTTCAGAAAAGAAAATGAAACAGAGAATGTACTCTGGTGTGATTTTACTCTTGATTTTCACATAAATACAGTATCTGCCTTGTTAGCAATCAAATCTGATCTAGACATCTGAACTAGATGTCACAACTTTCGCTCAACATTTTTTCCTATCTTCCACAGCATATTTATTTTGACTGCAATCTTTTTTCCTGTTTTCTTTTTATTCCTCCAGCAGATCAATGGCATTAAAGTAAGGGGTTGATGAAAACAACTCTTTAATTTTAAACCAGTGTCTTTTTTCTCCTTTAAGAAATTACATTCTCATCTGGCAATTTACTTCTGGCCATTGTCATATTGAAAAACAAACTCTTTGCCTACAGGTTGCTTCCAGAGGGTATTGAATGAAGGAAATTGATATTATACTTTTACTTCTAGTTATGTAATAACAAAAGAACCCCACACCTTCACTTAAATGTACTTAAATTTTGTCAATTGTTCACATGCTTTTCTTCTTACAGTATGTGCATTTTATTCTTATGATTTATCACCCATTCTAAGTTTTATTTTTACATCATCTAAGTAAAAGGTTCCGTTGTAAGATAAGATCACTTTATAAGCCATTTACAATTTCTTGCATTAGAAATTCATCTTTTTGCATACCCCCAGCTTGCTCTCCATAAGACAGAGACACACAGACAGGGAGAGAAGTTTGGGGTCAGAGCGCAGGGTCAGACATTGTACAGCACCCCTGGAGCAGTTGGGGTTAAGGGCCTCACTCAGGAGCCCAATGGAGTAGGATTCCTCTGCCGGCCGCAGGATTTGAACTGGCAACCTTCTAGCCACAGGCACAGATACTTTGCCACAGCTACCGCTTCGCCCCTATGTTGAGTACAAGTCACATTAGAATTTCAAATATGTGATGCAACAGTTTCTTTTCAAATGAAGAATACATCGTTGTAGCTCAGCAAATGAAATGCTAATTTCCAAATAATCATTCTATCTACTCTTTATTATAGAATTTCTGCTTTTTAAAGAATCTTGAGTAGATTTGTGTGAATAGCTACTGCTATTTAAATGTGTATGCTTTCACTGTGTACATTAAAAGCACCAGATTTTGAAACTGATGAGGTAATTATGTAAGTACTTTAGTTCTCATCCCTATTATAATGGTTTGAAAAAGATTTTAAAAAGTGAAAAGAACATTGCATAACAACTTTTCAGATACATTTACTGTAGCACTATTGACAACTAAATACACAGTGATTTAATACTGAACCTATACACGGCATATCTGCTACGTTTTTCCACATGATTCCATACTGTTTGTTCTCCTTATAGAAAGTGTAATTCAATAAGAAAGTGTCAATGACTTTCACTGCCAGTACTGTATATTTAGGTGTTTGGAAGAAAATATTGTCTTGGTATTTGAGATGCTTGTGTTACGACTTCATCAATTTTCACTGAAATTCCACTCTGTTATTCAATATAATAAATATAATATTGCTTTATTCCTTTTAGACTTACTCTACATTTTAGATTCATTTTATTCCTTTATTAGACTTAACATGATTGATGTACTATTCTGAATTGAAAGGACAGTAACTTTTTTTTACTTTCCATAGCTTAATTTAAAGGGAACTAGACAAGGGAAAATAATCTCTAATGCTTAGATAAAACTAACTGTTCAAACTGTAGTACCATCATATAGCATTAGACAGTGTTATTTTAACATTTTAACATAATATATAATTTGTGCACATTTTACAGATTACTGGTAGTTCAGAAGGTTCAAACACTCTTTGTGTACAACACCCCAGAAGATTAGAATTAAAATCTAAATGTGAAATATTCACGTACTTCTTTAAGATTGATTAGCATTGACATCTAACTAAATATAGGGAAAAAAACATAGAACAGGGCTTTAATTATGCTCTAGACAGTGGCAGTAAGGCAGTTTTGTTTCCCTGATTTTTGCCTTTCTCTTCTGACACTGATATTGGCCTCACATCTGATTTGTTCACTTTGCATATAGTTTTAATTGAGTACCATCCATTGAGGTCACAGCCTTGCTTTGCTTTAAGCAAACAGTAGTCATCGCTTCTCAACTGCTCATGTGGATGAAAGTCTTCATCCACCAGAACAGCTGAGCTTTGACATGAATGTATGGCTCACAAACGGTGGGCACTGCACTTCCCACAAATAAAAGCACTTCACATTGACAGATAAAGTTTCTGTCTCATCCTGTGCTTCAGATACAAGAACTGCATGAATACCACATAAGAATACCTATCATTTTCCCTAAAGGATCAAAGGTTTATGCAGTGCTGCCAGTGACATTTTCTAATGAATTTCGTGCTGAGAGCCATAGAACATATGAACTCAAAATAAGCTGCCATTTCACAAATCTCTTTGACCTTAATTGTGAGCTTAGAATTTGGAATTTTTATATTATATTATATTATATTATATTATATTATATTATATTATATTATATTATATTATAAATTGAGTAGCAAGAAATATTAATTAACTGTAAAAGCAACTTAAACTACATAAGTTACTTAAAATTAGATTTTGATGTGAACATTAAAACCATGTAAAGAAAACATTTCATTGTGCCAAAATATAAAGAAATACTGTAAAAATAAATACAGTATAAGATGTGCCAAGTTTCTTTGTTGATCTTGATTATGGAAATGATTTGGTGTGGTAACACACAAAAAATGAAATACTGTATTATAGGGCTGAAATACAGTTCAGTTTTACAGACATATTCCTGTAATAGCTCAAAGGTGCATTTCAAACTCTATTCTTATAGGAAGTGCATTGATACAGAATAAATGTGGGGTTGTCTTATTTTCACTAGTCCTTTAATTTACATATTTAATACACACACAGTATCTTTGATAAAAAAAGCTTTGCAAATAATATATACAGTATATGATAACAATCCCAACTTTTTCAAAAGCATTAGTTAAGATTAGAATATCAGAGCAAATGAGGAAATGAAGTCTGAGCCAAAAGCTACCTGTAAAAAACATGAAATATGTGAAATATCCAGGTCCCAAGTTAACTTGAAGTGGATCCCTTTTTTCTGTATTTTCCTTACATTATACTGAAATCAAAATTAATTATACTGGGACAGGGATGTAGTAATGTCAGTCTTTTTCAATTTTATCAAATGAAAATCTTAATAGTGGAAGCTTACCCTTTGGAACCTTCTAGCCATAAACTTGAAGTTCTGATAGAATCACTCAAAGGTGATTTATAAGGCAATTGTAAGTTCTAATGGGCTGTGCGGCCTGTCCAATTTTATGATGAGATACTCCAGAGCTGGGATTACAATAAAATTAAAATAAATTATCCAATTACAGAATCATACATTTACATGTATTTGCATTAATTTCTTCAAATACTGTACATGTTTTATTTTTCTCTAGGTCAATGGTATTAATGTTGAAAATGCTACTCATGAAGAAGTTGTGAGTATATTTTAAATATGTTTTTTCTTCTTATATCAGTATGTTCATGTCACGATAAAAATTCTCCAGCCTCTTAAATTTCTCCAGGCACTTAGAATACTACAACCACAAAACATTCTCTAGCCTCTAAATTTTCTCTGATCACAAAGAATACTGCAGTCATTAAAAATCTCCAGCCTCTAAATTTCTCCAGACACTAAGAATACTACACTCCAGAAGTTTTGGAAGACCACCAAAACTTCTCTCCAGAAATGGCCCACAGGTACAAGATAGTGGCAGATAGACAGCACCGCCCCTTTCCCCGTCTATGCAGAAGTAAATTTGTCTGTCTTTCGTCGAAAAATCTCCCACTACGACAACCCCCCAACAACCCCGGACCCTGGTACACCAGACCTTTCTGGGTCATTTCCCAGGTTACCCCTGTTTCTTACCTCCTGTCCCTTCCGTCTACCCTCAAGATCCATCCTACAATCCATGTCTCCCTCCTCAAGCCCTTCTGTAGGGTTAGGCCCTGACTTTCACAGTTAACAGTTAAGATTCTGGATTCTCGCTGGCATCATTTCTCAATACAATATCTGGTAGATTGGGAAGGCTATGGAACCCGAAGAGAGATCCTTGGTTTCTGAAAAGGACATCCTAGATCATAGCCTAATCATTGACTTCCACCGGACTTTTCCTTAATCGTCCACGTAGTACATTGGGAACCGCCCGTGAAGGGGGGTACTGTCATGGTTCCACCTTCCCCCGAGGAGTCGCCACCGTTAATTAGACTCAGCTTCCGTTAATCAACGCTAATCGGCTCCTAATTACCACTAACAGCATCACCTGGACTGACTATCCTATCCCACACTACAGTGTTTAAGGACTGCTTACTGTACCTGTTCCAGTTTGCTTGGCATTGGGTCTACGAGCAGAATGTTTTTAACTCGTATCAGCCCAGCGCTACTTAACTTGTTCCTCCTGATCTCCCGGCTTTGTGACCAGTTCTCCTAATAAGACTGCAGTTTTGGATTTGACTTGCCTGATAAGTACACCTGGCTTACTACTTCTCTCCTAGGATTCCGCATAGGGTCCAAAACCTACCCAGTTCACTTTGTAACAGGTCAAGTATAAAAAGGCCAGATACACAATGTTTTGGTAACAAGATATATACATACAAGTGAAGATGCTTTGGTATTTATTGTGATCACTAATGCACTAACCCTGGAGCATAACACACATATTGTGATTTAAGTTATCTTAGAGGAAAAGGCACCTTGTAAATGTTTTAGTATTTTAGTACTGTCAACCAATGCATAAGTAGATGTAATTTCTTATCATTTATGCTTCCTTGTAAAATTAATTATTTGTATATAATAAATAATGAAATTCTAGCATACCTTAAGTGAAGCTCAGCACTTCACCATCTGGCCATTCAGAGTTCAGGGCTCTCAAGAAAAGCATCAATTTTATACTGATAGTGCTCACAGCTGACACGTTATTTTTATTGATATTCTGTATTAACACAAGTAGAGCATTTAAAACTGGTAACCCTACCTTCCTAAAACAGAACTGGTGTTTGTGTATATATTTGGTTTACTGAAATTGTTATGTTTAAAATTAGGATAGCTTATTAAGATTAGAATACAGTACATTTGTGATATATTTTAGTTTTTAGAGATATTTTAAAGTGCCACTACACAAGTACCCTACCTGTACTATATTGTATCTATACATATGTATTGTATAGTACTACATTTTATTTCCTCCAAAAATATCTGGTCAATTGCTAAAGATACATTTTGATGCACTAACAATTACTGAATAACAAGAGCAAGACATATGGAGTATAACTATGAGGTCACAGTTTAGTACAGTGAAAAGCTTTGGGACTGTGAAGTGAAATTTGTTTTGTTCTTTTTGTTTACTATTGTTAAGATAAAATGATGTACAATATAGCATATTCAGGGTTTATAAGTATATTGTTTGTGCATATATGTTAAACCATGTTAGAAAAATAATGTTGTTTGTTTTGAAATATATAAAATGCAGATTAGAACATTTTCGGAAACAAAGAAAACTGTTTGAAAAATCAAGAAACTATTGTAACTTTTGTTTTATAAGATACTTTATGTAAGTACATGTATCAAGGAGAAGTGATTACATTATATGGTCTTCCTATATGATTTAACTATTGCCGAAGACCATTTTAAAAATAACTTTATACGTTTTTTTTTAGAACTTTCATAATAAGACTAGAGATAGACGATTTTCATTTTGTTTTAGGAATCATAGACGTAAAGTATTAGCAGGAATAATGAATTATGCAGGCTGGAACTGTTTTGAATCCTGCAGTGTTGTCTGTGGCTTTCTGAAATTTGAAATACGTTAGTTAGAACCAAGCAGAACAGATTACTGAAGACAGAATTCACCATGTATGGTTATGTGGGTGGATATAAGTAAATTTTTACAAAAGTGCAATGTTTTTGTAATAGTAGACAGACATGCAACAGCTTTTAAGAAAAAAAAGTAACTTTGTCACCTATTATGATGGTTGTCTAACCTTTCTCAATTACAATCTGTGTGTTCCCAAAAGCAAAGGACACTTAAATATGGAACAATGTGGCATCAGTGATGAGATGAAACACTGTCTTAAAATGCAACTGATTTATTTTGTATAAACATAATCAACAAAAAGTGAAGTCTAAGTCTGAATTAAACGTATGCTAAACTAAGTTTGATTCACTACATACTGTACCATGTTTAAAGAAATACAGTACTTAAATGAGGCTTACTAATTAACTGTATGAATCTAAATGGAAATTTAAAAGATATAATGCAAAACGAATAGCCTTAGTAGTTTTTCCCTTTTCCACATGAAACCTATTTACTTTGAAAACAAAATTATATTTTTTGGAAAATCCTAGAAGAAATATAATATATTATTGACCTTTTAGTTGATGAGAACTTAATGTTTGTACAATTGTCTGCCACAAGATAAAAAGCAGCAAACCACAAATAATAAGTAAAATATTGCCAAAAGTACACTTATTGTATTCTACTGAAATAACAACTCAGTTCTAGAACTGGAATAGGTATAAAAAACTGTGATATCAGATATTGAAATTTATGTATCTTAACAAAGGTGAGGCAGAATAAATATGTATTAGTAAATCAAGAGAAAATAATAATACTGTAACATGACATTAAATTATTCTTTCTGAACACTTCAGATCAAATCATATTAATTTAAATTGCATTAACTTGTATGCATTTTATTTTCATGTAACTCTGCATCAATTTTGGATATCTCTAATATTAAAGCCTGGCTTTTTACCTTATATTGTTCTTAAATAACTGATTTTCTATTCAAAATCTGTGTGTGGTACATACAGATGCAGACATCCTATTTGTGTATACATTTGAATGTATCTGATATATTTTAATCATACAGAATTTCTAAATTTAGTTACTATGGTCTTTTTGCACACAAGGACTCCCTCACCAAGCAAGCAAAGTATGTACTGTAGTTATTAATTTGATGAATGAATAAAAACTACATTTACCGATGACCACTTAGTTTAAAGATTTCCATGAATATCCACAGATATCCATACTGTACATCAACTACAGTATTAGTGTAATTTATGTAGGTTGTCTTCAACTAGATGCAATTATTAACCCCACTGGTTTTGCAAATGGTCATTGAAAATATATTAAATTAGATTAAAATGTTTTGAGTAACACATACTGTACCTGGACACTATAATGGCATATAACAATGTTAACAATTGCAGTAGTTTTGATTAGTTTATAGTAATTATATGAAATGTATTGTTTTCTGAAAATTTCCATGAAACCAGGCATAAAACCAAGGTCTGATATAAACTCCATTCATGCCATGCCACTGGCAATTGGTCACACCAATTTACAATTGGTTAATTTACAGTTGCTGTTATTAAGGGGTATGTCCATTTATTCAACCCATTTTTCTAGGATTTAATTTGCACATTTGTTTTTCACTTGTAGTCCTTGTAATGATGTGTAAATTAAAGACAAATGCATTCTAATTTAATGTACTGTATCTTGATTTAAGGCTGTATCTTGATTAAGGATTTAAGGCTACAAAATGTGTTACTTTGGAAAACGTGTGTAGAGTTTCTATAGGGACTGTAAAAATCAAGTGATTTTGTATTTTTATTGTAAATAAAATACAAAAAACAGATATTGTTTTATTTTGTTCATAGAAATAAAATTGTACTGACAATTTATTATCTTTCACTATTGTGAAGGATAGTAGAGATAAGGAGTGAATATCACTGGAGGGCTTCAACAGCCCAAACCTACCCCTGCTAGACCATCTATGCTACTGTAACAGGGAAGCCAAATAAGGAATGTAAAGACAAGTGAGAGAACGATATGGAGACACTCCCAGAACAGGAAAGGTTTCTCATGAGAAAATTAAGGAATTGGCTGCATCTGTAGACACAGTTTCTTATAAAAAATATTCATAGACAGGGGTTGTCTACTCAGATCCTCCAAAATCTCTTGTATGGTGTCATTGTATATCTGAGAGTGAGATGATTGGTGAATGATTTAGAGGAAAATATTCTGGGTTGGACAAAAAAAACAAAATATTATTACTTACCATATCAGAGTAACAGACTGGATTGTTGCTACACTAGCCCACCAGTAAAAAGAAGATGGTTATTTAATGGCTTGGCCTAAATGGGATCAACTGGGTTCTTTTCCTCTGCTATGGGTATGGTTAAAGAACTACAGTAGAATTTATCCGGGCAAGCATAGGGAAAGTAGTATAAGGAGGGAAAGTATAACAACAAAATCCCCTATGAAGACATTATTTTATGTGTAGGTTCTCCTGCTACATTATCAACTTAACAGGAATCTGTGACAGCCATCTAGTTATGTTTGTGGTTACAAAAACCCACAAAGCAATTCCACACTTGATGGCCCTATAAAAATGTTCATTTATTCAGAGGTATCAGTGCAGAAACACACCT